AGACATTTTTCTTTCAGCTTAGAAAATAAAGAGAAGACACCAGGTGTAGAAACCAATCCCCCTCTGCACAGCTATCCATATAATTTTAACTTTAGTGTGGATCATGCAAATGAAAAAGGTGTGAGCTCGAGTTAAAAGGTAATTGCAAGTACGTTCTTATGTCAGCTGTATTCCAAAATCATCAGGTTAATTGCTCTTTTGTCGAGTGACACATGTTTGCTACATTATTAGTATTGCCTACAGTATGTTATACCTATTTCTTGTTATTTGTATTTCCCATGTTATTTCCAATCTTGTAATAAGTCCTTCCATTCTTGATGTATTACGTTTGTAATACTTTACTTTGAAACCACCGGCAATGGCATGTAAATAGAAGAGTTCAGTCAAGTTATCAGGAAATTTAACTCCTCAAAAACATATTGCTGGCATGTTGGTTACAGTTACCAGGCTTGTGAAAAAGTAGTCTGGGTTAGGTGAAGTCTCAAGGTTTCTTTATCAATTACCTTTCAAGTTAATCAACAATTTCATTTTCCCTTCAGTCTGGATAAATGAAAAATTAACCAGTACTTGTCAAAATCATGAAATAGGCATTGGTATTGTATACTTCAACTGCTCTGCAGACTTAGTAAGCTGCAGTTTGAACAAATTAGTAGGGAATGCTAATGTCCATGACATTTCGAACTTGAGTGAAATTTAGGTGGCAGTGTATCACATCACACTGTTCAACCCTTAAACTCTCAGACATAATTAACATGTAACTTCTCCCTAGAATATCCATACAATTTCCAACAAAAGAGTGATGAAAAAGTTGTTATCTTGATCAAACAACAAATTCCTATAACAAATGTGACCATGAAAGGCAAGACAGAGACTAACAGTCTGTGCGAATGGGTAAACTGTTCGTTACCCATTAAACGCCTTAAAAAAAATCCATTCAAAGCATTCTACAAACTTTTTGAATGGTTTGCATATATGTCCGAAGAACATTAGCACCTGTTTGAAGTATTGTGACATCTGTTTGA